CCTCCTCTCCGTCCCTCTGTAGTCTCATTCCGTGTCTCTCTCTCCATCAGCAGCGGTCTGGATGCTTGCAGGGACAGAAACATGGCTGTGAATCTCGGCAAGAACAGACTGGCCCTGCTGACCGCCTACCAGGACGTCATCGACGAGACCTCGGACACCGACTGGTGAGTCCTCCGGCCTCTCTTCTTCACTTTCCTCCCCCTCTCTCCTCTCCGGGCTTCTCTCTGGGGGGGTTTGCTGTCCGGGTCGGTGCTCGTTGAGGATGCGCAGGACAGCTCACAGCAGCAGCAGCATCCTCCTCCTCACACCCGGACTGTGTGAAGGGGGGGACTACAGGGCCGGGTGTTCGAGTCCTGTCTCTGTCAGGAGTTCACCTTCCCGGCATTAAGCGCATTATGCAGCTGCGCGCTCGGAGCAGACAAAGTGAGAGTTTCAGGGTTAAAAAACACAGCAGCAGCTTTTGGTTCTGGACTGAAGTGCTCCGCAGAGTGGGGGGGCAATGTGCGCTGCTGTGCGCAGGACACAGAATGTGCACGCTTTGTTTGCTCTCAGTTTGTGTCGGGACCAGGTCTACTCTGAGCCAGCTGGGACTCATTTCTGGATTTTCTGTTTAGGCGATGCAGAGCTGCGAGTGTGTGTGTGTGTGTGTGTGTGGGAGGTGAATAAACGGGCCTGGTCCAGAGATACTGGATGAGCCCCTGCATCCCCAAAACGAGGGCGGAGAGGAGAGGGGCGAGGCCGGCAGGAGGGAGGGAGGGGATAGAGGGGGGGAGGAAGGGTGGGGGGGGGTTCCATCATCAGCCTTTGTGGCCTTTCCTCACTCTGACACAGAGCCAGAGGAGGCCACACAGAGCAGAGCCTGCTGAAACCCCTCTGTAACAACACCATGAGAGATCCTCAGGACACATTCTTTATGTTCATCTGGTGATCTGAACCTCTGTTTACTCCTCAAAGTCTCCAAACATGAAAAACTATTACAATTTTTTTTATGTATAGTTTTGTTTGAAAGCTTTTTCAGACTTCATTGATGCTAAAGTTGAATTTATTTAAATGTCTTCAGGCAGGGGCGTGTCCAGAGGCGTGGTCAGGGGGTGGCATGGGCCCCCTAAAACCTGATTGGCCACCCCAGGTCCCTCCCCCAAAATCTTAAACTATGATTGGCCGTTTGCCTGTCCAGAGGAGGGGCTTGTGCTAAAATCAACGATTATGTCTGTGTTGGAAACAGTAATAGTTTATTTTTGTGTTTTAACGTGAGCAGGACGGACGATGGCGGCGTGTCGAATGAACGATAACCACGAGCGCTTCAGTTGAATTACAGACGTCGTCTTTGTTTGTATGAAACAGTTATGTGTTGGACCTCAGTAAGTATAGCATATGATGCTGCTCATGGGGTCCCTAATAAAGAACAAATCTTTACAATTTAAAATAAACACAACAGCAGTTTGTTTTTGTTGGCCAGCAGGGGGCGACAGAAACAACAAAGGCTTTTACAAATGTATTTCAGCAAGCCGACAATCTGATCCAGTGACTATCAGTATCGGCTAATTTTAATGCAGATATGCACCGCTATTACTCAATTTATTCAGCACTCAAACATCATTTAATTTGAGTGTCATTGTATTACACGAGCAGTTCTCTGTCACCAGCAGAGGGCGCTATATGAATTAAAACAAACATCATTACTCTGCAGAGTCGAGCGGTGATGCTCGTTCATGCTCAGTTACTTTCCAGTCGAGTGACCATCGTCTTCATTATAAATCTTTTATAAAGTGTTTGATATTTGAGGGATCAACATAATAAATGTGTTTATAGATCTATATATCTCTAGAGATTGAACATAGAGCTAAGCTATGTTTTTCTCTTCCTAATATCGATATCGGCCCCAAACATCTCTTATCAGTTGGGCCTTACTTTTCTCCACAGTCGGCTCAAAGATCATTGATTGATGTGTTTGTGTCACCTGATGAAGTCCAGCTCTTTTGTATCTCTGTGTTTGGTCTCCTCCACCTCCTAAAGGAGATTTCTCTCGTAATAATTTGTGAAGCTGCAGAGTCAGCTGGTCTCCTCTTGGACTGTCACATGATCGTCTTTCTTTCTGAGCGTTCAATGTTTTTGTTTTGCAGAGTTGTTATCAGAATCAAAGTGATGAGTGACCTCGGGTTTCCGAGTCATTGCGGTGGTTAAAGCTCAGATTACACTTCCTGTTTTGATTTGTTGTGGAGCCAAAATATGTCCAGTTCCCGTCTTCACGGTGAAACCTGAATCTGGACCATCTGCTGCGGGTCTTAAGACTGAATCAGGTCACTTAGTGATCGGTTCTGCTTTCAGTTTGTGGAGAGTGTCGGGGGGGGGGGGGGGTGTGTTCTTTTGGTTCCACATTCAGTCTCTGGATCTGAAAGTTCTCATCTCTGCTGTTTGCTCGATGATTCTCATTAAATCTGAATCACTGGAGGATTAGTCAACGTTTCAAAAGATTCTTGTTGAGCCGCCCTTCAGATAAAACCTGCGAGGTTCTGCTGAAGCACAAAGTCAAAAAAACTTAAAGAACCGTTGGCGTGATCCATTTGTAAACGACCATCACCAGGCAATGGTAATGCCGTGTTAGCTTGTTGTTTGGTAACGTGTGTAAGCTTGTTGTTTGGTAACAGCGTGTTAGCTTGTTGTTTGGTAACAGCTTGTTAGCTTGATGTTTGGTAACGGCGTGTTAGCTTGTTGTTTGGTAACAGCTTGTTAGCTTGGTGTTTGGTAACGGCTTGTTAGCTTGATGTTTGGTGACGGCGTGTTAGCTTGATGTTTGATGACGCTTGTTAGCTTGATGTTTGGTGACGGCGTGTTAGCTTGATGTTTGGTAACGGCGTGTTAGCTTGATGTTTGGTGACGGGTGTTAGCTTGATGTTTGGTAACGGCGTGTTAGCTTGATGTTTGGTAACGGCGTGTTAGCTTGTTGTTTGGTAACAGCGTGTTAGCTTGATGTTTGGTAACGGCGTGTTAGCTTGTTGTTTGGTAACGGCGTGTTAGCTTGATGTTTGGTAATGGCGTGTTAGCTTGATGTTTGGTAACGGCGTGTTAGCTTGTTGCATGTTAACAGCGTGTTAGCTTGATGTTTGGTAACGGCGTGTTAGCTTGATGTTTGGTAACAGCGTGTTAGCTTGTTGCATGTTAACAGCGTGTTAGCTTGATGTTTGGTAACGGCGTGTTAGCTTGTTGCATGTTAACAGCGTGTTAGCTTGTTGAATTAAACAGGAAGTGAAGCTGATGTCTGGCACCGTGTTGGTACGGGTCGCTGCGTTCTGTGATGGCGAGCGGCCAACAACTGGCACAAAGGTTAGCGCTCCCCGTCACGTCGGCTCCTTCTGACAGATGATCCTCTGCTGCACGGAGACGATGCTCGGGGGCCTCAGGCCTGCCCCCGATTCTCACACTCGATGAGGTTTGAACAAAGGCAGAGACTTCATAACACCGCTGACCCCAAACAACACCCCAACAACACATTCCCCCCCCCCCCTCCCCAACAACACATTCCCCCCCCCCCCACTCCATTACTCCGTCCTCAGAGAGCTGTCAGTGTTTCTGCTGCTTCACCGTCAGAGCTGCAGAGCCTCAAACCTGAGTGGGGGGGGGGGGGGGGGGGGGTTAAGATCAGGATCACATGACGAGAGTCTGCTGGTGTCTGAATGTGGCTCAGTGGTTCATCGACTCTCGATCAGTACGGTCTGTCTTTGATGACTTCTAAAAGAGATTTCAACTCAGATAAATAAATAAATATTTGAGCTCCCGTTTGGATGCTTTTATTTTGAAATAATTTGAGGACCCAAGGATAGTGTGTTTTGTTTTTTAAGGTTTATTTTTGGGCTTTTTGGGCCTTTATGGACAAACTGCTTTAAAAAAGGGCCATGACACCACGGCTCAAAGTTTGGATCAAAGTTTGAATATTTATTCAGTAATCTGTAACGTGTAAAGTTCTGTGGTCTCTGCAGTGTTTACTTTACTTTCCCCCGATCAGCAGGAGAACCTGTAGGAGGTCAAAGGTCAAAGTTCCTTCTCACTTTGCTTTTGTATTGATGGTGTAATCATTATTTAGGACTTCATCTGACAGCGTTGGGGGGGGATGTTCTGACTCCTCAGGTTGTCATGGAAACATAGATGTACAATAAATGTTTGTGTTATCAAACAGGCTTTTATACTGAAGGAGAGCAGGCGTTAGGGGAAGTCCCTGAGACCTCCACAGGTTCAGGTAATAATTAGCTCCCTGATTTGTTGGATGTATTTCCTTTTGAGGCGGTTGAAAGTGGAACATGGCCGCTCTCTGGTTTGTGATTAACTTCTCACTCTTGGACATTTCCTTCTTCTTAATCCGCTGAGGCTTTAACCCCCGCCTCTCTCTCTCTCTCTCTCTCTCTCTCTCTCTCTCTCTCTCTGAAGCCGAATCAATCAAGGCGCTCTTTTTTTCTTGTCATGCAACATGAAGCTGTCGAGGTTTCTTCATTAATTACACGACATCCTCAAATAAAGCTCGTCCTCTGAGCGGCCTTATCTCAGCCTCGCTCTCGGCGGCTCAGGGCCTCGATGCTCCACAAGCGGAGGAGATTTGAGAGCAGAAGACGAGCTGCTGAGAGGAAATGATCCGGACGAGCAGCTGGATCAGGACTCTGAGGATCTCTGAGACGATGGTTACATCATCATTGGGTTTATTTACAGCCTGTAATTATAAGAGAACATGATGAGGAGCTGAGTTAGCACCAAAGCTGTAGTTTCTGAAAAACGTTGGTATTAATATAAGATTTGGTTCAATCCAGAATCAGGTATCATGATGGCCTCAGGGTGGATGATATAAATGTTGGTGATGGTGGTGAAACACTGTCAAAAGAAGCCTCAGAGCTCCTAGATTAGCTTTTAACTTTTACGTCAACTATAGCATTTCATTTTAGAACCAGGCTGTAAACATGTTAAGTTTTGCTTTTTAGAATGGGTGTGTATGTGACTTTCTGTGCTTCTGCAGCCAGCCTCTAGTGGACACTCAAGGAACTGCAGGATTTTGCACTTCAGCATCGGCACACTGCTGGAGGTTGCTGTTCGGGTAGAACCATCGTTGGGCTTTATAACTCCTCTTCAGAATCAAATAAGTGACATCACTGAGACTACGTCCATGTTTCATACACTCTGT